GAAGACGAGGATGAGAGAGTTGAACCGCTTGAGCTTGTGGACGGAGACGGTGGAGTGGAAGTGGTGGTGAGGGGTAGGGATTCGAGCGTGCGGCGAAGGCGAGCCGCCGCCGTTGCGGAGGGACTGAGGGGATCGCATGGCCGCCGCCGTGAGCTACAGAAGGAGAAGCTGAAGCTCATACATACAACCAAAACCACGTAAGCTTTCGATTTCTCTGTTTGTTCTTGAATGGTATCTCTGTTTTGATTTTGTCTGTGGGAAATGGGGATTATGGGGAAGAAGATGAGGTGGGAAGTGGTGGTGGAGTCACGGGCGAGGGCAGGAGTTCCATGAGAGTCTGAAAGAGGGGTTTTCGTGTGAAATGTGTGTGGGAAATTATTCAAAGCGGCCACCAGAAAGAGAGAGAGAGAAGTGAGAACTGAGGGTTGTGAGGACAGTGATGGAGTACTGGAAAGTGAGAGAGAAAATTAACTTTACAAAATTTTGGTTTTCTTATATCTGGGCTGTCCCCCCTGCTCAATTAGACTGTTTATGATTGTTGATAAGTTTTTGTTTTTAAAACTAATGTTTAATGTAACATTACATAGCCCTCATTATCAAAGTTTTCAGGTTTTTATTACTATTAGTCCTTGAATAATAGGTCCCCCTAAGATATTCAAATTATTTTAAATTAACGTATTTAGTTGCTTAAACTTTTAATTTTGTGTCTAAATAAATGGGTGAACTCTTTTAAAATGCTGAATAAATAAAGAATTTATTAGACCTAAAATTTAAAGTTCAACTATTAAATACTTTATAAATTTGGGAAATTGTAAATTTATAATTTAACTTTTTTTCTTTTTAGTTCACATGATGGGATTGTATTATATCATGTACTTTTGAAATAGTAATAGTTGACCGTGCTTGAAGAGGGTGTTGTGTTCATGAGTTCTTAAACTTTTAAAAGATTCCAATAAACATCTGGAATCCAAGTTTTTGAGTAATGTTTAATAAGTGTTTGAATTTTCATATTTGTGTCCATAAATTTGTAAATTTTAAAATTTATCTAATACATTTTAGATCTATTAGATATAAAATTAAAATTTCATGACCATATTAGATATTATTGGTAAGTTTTGAGACTCTTAATCTTAGAAAAACCTATTTGACACATTTTTTTAAAATACGGATGCTAAAGTTGTATAAAGATTTTGGATAGTACTGCCTACTAATTTTTTTTTGGTTTATTATTTCTTAATTAAAAAATTTAAATTGTATTTCTATAAATATAGAAAACTAACCATGTGGCCCATTACTCAAAAGAGATTAAGTTTAATTAAGAGATAATTAATTCAAATTCATGATGATCGTTTGACTTAGTAATTAGTRATTCTTATGTATTGTAGGGTGGTTKTCCGGTGAATTTAAGCATAAGATRTTCATTTCTATAATTATATTTTAATAACAAAATATGTAATAATAAACCACAAATATCTTTCTTTTGTTCTGATATTTTGAAACTGCTTTTATTTTGTTAAAATTATTTTTCCAAATGATTGCAGTTCACGTAAAAATATTTATAAAACCACTCTAACGAGGAGTTTCAATTTAGTCTTGAATCTTGACGATCTTAGTTTAGTTTCAATTTGGTTCTTMTAATTTGGTTAAATTTTACAAATCATTTTCRTAAATTGTCTTTTATCAATTTGAAAACTCACTAATTTTTTTATTGTCATTTTATATATATCTTTTACTCAGCTTTTCACATCTTAATATAAAAAATTAACTCAATGCCACGRAAATAGCAATGAGAAAACTCACATATGCTAACAATGGAGGTGTTTGTGAGACTAAACAAAATTATAAGGATTAACTTCAAACTTTTGAATAATAGGAACTGAGTTGGAACTAAGCTGTAATTTTAAATCATAAGAATTAAATTAAAATCGTAGAAATCAAATTGAAATTATGTTTATGATATTTAAGTCTCCATATTTTAAAGAGATAAGTGAAAAGAGTAGTTGAATTTTTTATATTTTTTTCAATACAACAAATGGAGCTTTGAGATATGCGAATTGTCGCAAAACTAAACTTATATTGGCGAGTTATGTTCATCATATTGGTTAGCCCGAAAATGAACTTAGCTAATTATAGAGTAAGTAGCGTTTTATGATGTGGACGTCACCGTCAATGGAAATGTAGACTCCAGCGTATGAAATAGAAATAAATAATTTAAAAAAAAAAAGAAAAAAGAACGTTACATGAGAGCTATTTGCTTCTTAAAAAAGTACTTGAATTTAGAGGTAATCTACTACTTTTAGAAGTGTATTTAATGAGCTCTTAAATTTGAAAAAGAAATATCTAGTAAATTACTGAGTTTCAATTTTCAATTTTGTGCCTAGTCTAATTTTAAAAAATGTTAAACAAATTAGAAGTCTATTAAATAAGTAATTTATTAGATAATACTCTAAATATTTTTTCGAATTCATGATCTTTTAGTGGAAGATAAGTACTTCTCGTGGGGTCCTAAACTTATAATTTAACGTAAATTATAAGTCAATTTATTTTTTGAGGAATTTATAAATCATACTTGTATTTATATAGCCGACATCTTTAACGTTATTCAATACTATTATAGGCTTTTTTTTATAATATATTTTTTTAAATTTATAGTTTCTCCAGATGATAACAATAAATTGGGACTTTAGTCGTAAATTTCTGATCATATAAAAAAGAGGGGACAGACAGACAACAAATTTGGTTTCCGAATATAAATATAAAATGT